TTGGGGGGGGGGGGGCATGTTTGGTCATGGCGGTGGCAATTCGTAGGAAGTCCGATGCAGAAGCCGCGCCCTGGTCCTTGTCCGACCATTTGCCGCTCTCTGCTGAAGGTCGCTGACCACCGCCGAGCTTACTGTCCCAGAGAAGTGTGTTGTTGCGCCACGTGATTTGCAGTCGACATCGAACGAAGAAGTGCTGTGGTTTTTGTTGGCCGCCAAACCAAAAGGGAAAAGGGGGGGACCATAATCCCGCGGGAGGGTTGAACAAAAGTTCTGATTTTGAGACTGGCGTCACTGGACGGGTGATGTTGGGCATGGGCCTGGGACAGTCAACTCTACACAGCACCCGTGAACAACGGCATGTGCTCGCTCGAGCCTTTGCCTCTCTCTACAGTTGGCGCCTACACTCATGTTAAGGAGGGCCCGATTCTTACGGTATCTATCTGTCGATTGACTTTTACCAGCATCGGTACACCTTCGCGTATGGCGTCAGTGGCAGGATATACCCGTCCTGGCCACATGAGGCTCCCAGTTGAGGGTAAATTGTGTGGGTGGAGAGTGTTAAGGAGGGCCCGATTCGCAGGGTGTCTGTCGATTGACTTTTACCAGAATCGGTACACCTTCGCACTCACTCAAAAACCTCTAGTTTTGACCTAAACATAGTCTGGGGTTTCCTTGAGGTGATGCCACAATTGGCTGCTATGCGTACATACATATGTTTTCTTGTAGGGTCTGTAGATCACTGTTCTAGCTGGGAGGCCAAGAGCCTGCCGACTTATTTTTTATTCATTCCACGGCTAAACCATTAGAAGGGCACTCAGTCAGGGCTGACTACATAGTCCAATGGTGGAACATTGTCGAAAATTCTTGACCGGGCTCACGAATGGTGCTCAAGTCCTTCGATTATTGAATTTGTCGAAGCTACTGCTGGATACAGTAGCGCAATTTCTAAGGTGCAACATCACGACATCTTGGGCATATACAGATGTACATGCTAGTAGGGGTAGGTTGCTCGCCTGTTTCCGACGCGTGAAGGATTCTTTTCATGCAGGATACAACTTGTCGAATACACAATATCGAAGGTACATGTACTAACAGTACAGGCTACAGCACAAGTCTAGGTGCCTTACAGTACCTCGCGACACAATTCTCTGGAGACATTCTTGAGTGGTTTGCTCGGATTATTCAGAATATGACGACAGGGAGAGACAGACAGTCACAGACGGAAACCGATCACCAATCAATACGTAGGTCAACCACGGACGACGAACACGATACACTACACACCAAATTCAAAGGTTACTTAGCAAACGGCTACACTACCACCACACCGTACTGTACCATACACCTCATTCTCTCACGAATAAAAATGAACTATGATGGGACATTTTAAGCCGGTATGCGACGCAGAGCAATCATCTGTCCGTCCAAGGACTTCCAACGTCTGGAACCGCCGCCCGGCGCCTTCACGATCATAGTTGTTCCGGCCTCTCTGCCCAGTACCTTCCAACATCCGCACTGGTCCCAACTGAGTCGGATTTTCTGTGACCCGCATCAAGAAAATTTATATTTCGTTGAGAAGCAGAGGCTTGGACTTCCAAGTTTTCATTGTTGTCGTAAAAGTCCAAGCCTCTGCTCCTCAACGAAATGTTAATATCTCTTGATGCGGTTCACAGAAAATGCGTGCGAACGAGCTCTTGACCTAAGTTCAGTCTAGTTGTTTGCCATCCGGGTTGATTTTTCGTCGCTTGGCAGCGATGTTGTAAAACAAGCCGATCACTTCGTGAGCTCGGCAGCCAGGTTAACGCTTTTTTTTTTTGCCTCTGGTTGTTTTTTCTTGCGGCGACCATATTGGTGGTCGAGTAGATTATGTTGTGCGGGGTCGAGAGCCGTCACTCCGCGCAAAGCGGATGATCGCACCACCTCGTGTTAAAATTGGTCAAACACCCTAGAGGTAGTTGCGCAATGCTTGTTACTGTCTCTGGAAGTCGCGAGAAATCCAACTAGTTATGTCATACGCAGCTGTCATCCGTACTCAAGGAAGTAAGCACAAGATGCCGAACACAATTAGCAGGATGCAGCGCACCCTTCATGCGACTCGCCGAATGCCTCACGGTGCTTCGCGCTGGGTGATGTGAGCCTGGTCCGGTGAGAATCCGGCGTGCTCCGTCCCGGCTTTGTAGGGATGCGAGGTCANNCCCCCCCCCGCCCACCTTGATTGACCGACTTTCATTTCTCAATTGATTGCTCCACAACCAAGAGGAGGATGCAAATGCCAGCAGATAGGTCTACCAAGGAAAGCTAGCTCGGTACGCGATAGATACTTACTCCCGAGAACACATTTCGTTTCGGCAGGGTCGTGCCCTCCCTCTTGTCGAGCCATCTATCATCGATGGGGGCGTGTCCGAAGGAATGCATAAGTTTGCAAGGGGCGGGGCCGGGGGCGGTGTACTGCTCATCATAGTCGTTAGACGATAGACCTGGCATCCCTACAACGCCGGGACGGAGCTATACGCCGGATTTCCGCCGGCCAGCCCAGCCTACGTTCCACAAGGATGGGCCAGAAGCTGGTCATCATCCTTGCGGTTTTCAAGGTGTATGTGTGTATGTGTGTGTGTGTGTGTGTGGGGCTCATAGTCGTGCATGCCATAGTCGTTAGACCATTGACCTCGCATCCCTACAAAGCCGGGACGGAGCACGCCGGGTTCTCACCGGACCAGGCTCTCACATCACCAAGCGCGAAGCGCCGTGAGGTATTCGGCGAGTCGCATGAAGGGTGCGCTGCATCCTGCTCAGGGTGTTCGGCGTCTTGTGCTGACTTCCTTGCATACGGATGACAGCTGCGTATGACAAGGATTGGCCAGAAGCTGGTCATCATCCTCGCGGTTTTCACGGTGGGGGGCGGCCAATATTATGAATCACATGTTTTGGAGGTATAACCGGCGGCCGGCCACTGTAAGTTACGCTGCAAAAGGGACCTATACATCCGAACTCTACTGACGGCTGTAGACTAGCGGTCCTCCGGTTGGTTTTAGAATACATGTACTGCGTGCAAGAATAACCTTCAAGGTTGGTCAATCGAGACTCGTAGGACGCGCCACCCGTCTCTGTCGGTCTCTGTCTCTTTTGCCTTTGTGGCTTCTGTCTTTGTCTCTTGTTCCTCTGCTTCTCCCCCTCCATCCCCCCTCTCTCGGTCTCAAAACGGATCACTTGATGCTATACATCCTGCAGTTCGTCGTGGAGTAATCGAGCTCCAAAAATCGATCCATGGGGTGTGACGCCTTCCGTCACCTACGGTAAAAAATCACGACAGCAACGCAAACACTCAAATACCTCCCATCGGAAACTGGCCGAGGGAGGGGGGCGCGGACTCACGTCAACGGGTTGTGGTTAGATACTATCTTGAGACCTTTTTCAACGTCAGATATCTTAGGCACGGGCCTAGCTCCCAAGAAGCATGCCTGCCGGTGTCTGCCTACAGGATCAAACACCTCTACAGTACAATAGTCCGCCTCGGGGATTCTCAGGAAACAAAGTTACTCCTCCCCCGCATGTCCCGCAACCGCCCCGATCCTTGCCAAGGTGCCACGGGTTCAAACGAGGGGTCAAAGCTAAGCAGGAGAATGTCTGCCTTCTTATCTGCCACAAGTGGCTCAAACATCACCACGGCAGCAGCAGGTTTGCCTGCGGGACTCACGGAAAAAACAGTTGCTCTCTGAGCCTCCCCCCCAGCCAACCGCCCCGACCCTTTTTCAGGTGCTCACGGGTGCAAATCACGGGTCAAGGCTCGCAAAAGCATGCCTTCCCTTGTTGCTAAGTGGATCAAAATCATCACCAATAGTCCGCCTGGGGGACTCACAATAAACAAGATTTCCCTGAGACCCCCCCCCAGCCAACCGCCCCGACCCTTTTTCAGGTGCTCACGGATGCAGATCAGCGGCCAAGGCTCGCAGAAGCATGCCTGCCTTATCTGCATGGTGGATCAAACATGACTAGTGTAGTCCGCTTGGGGGACTCACAGAAAGCAAAGATACTGCCCGCCCCCCTCCCTCCCGCCGAGATGCCCAATCAACCCATGGCATACATCTGGTTAGGTTTAGCGCACGCAACGATGACGACAAGCTTCCGGTCCATCCTTGAGAACCGTACCCTGGGCCGGCCGGTGGTACACCCCGCAAACATATCGTTCCGTCCAGGCATTGTTGTAGGTATGCGAGGTCAACGGTCTATCGACTACGGCAGGCGTTTACACGGGTACACTTCTCCCTCCATGCTCGCCAACGCCTGTTGCTCACAGATGTCATTCAGGGGAGACAACGTCGGCCGGGTTTTGCTTTGCGAAGTGACGCCATCGTCCCGGCTGCCACACTCTGTTGATCAGCAAAAGGGAGCTCCATCGAGCTTCACGAACAAGACTTTAACGTTAAAAACTGGTACGCCTTGTCCATTGAATCCTTGTCGCGCCAACGCGACGCTTGCTCGCTCGAAACCAAAACCGCAAAGCGCAGTCCCCAAACCCTTCGCATTACAACACCCGACGGCGGCGGCGGGACCACAGATTTCGCCGCCCACGGGATATGAAGGTCAGTCAGTGGTGGCGCTGTACACAGAACCTTTGCTAAAAAACAAAACACACACACACACACACACACACAGACAACGTGCGGCAAGGAAAACAACAGCATGCCTTCATTCTTGCGCGTACGAGCACCGTAGGTGAGATAAGATATCACACAACGCACATCCTGGACCGATTCTCAAACATCGACTATTCGTAGCAGAGACAGCGGTGGCGCCGAAAACGACGAGCTATGACACCGCAACGTCGAGCTCTTTCCAAAAACGTACCGTTTCATCTGTGCATCCTCCTCGCGGAGAAAATCCAGCTTTGATAATCGGTCCAGGGGGTGTAGTACCTTGCGTCACATGTGGTAGTCCAGTGACAAGAATGCAAGTGGCAGTGCCTGGGGGTGGTTGTCGTGCAAACCCTCTCCTCACGACATCGAAAAAAAAAAAAAAACGGAACAAGAAAACATACACCCCCCAAAGGCAAGCAGACTATTAATTTCCCCGCAACACTACAAAAAAAAAAAAAAACTAGACCCAGGGGAGAGAGAAAGAACAAAAAAATCTAATTGGCTCCAACACGGGCCCAACAGACTCTTTAACTAATAGCGGCCCAGCGAGGAGCAAGAAACAAGTCTATGGCTCTAACACGGGCTATGACAGCAACTAACTAACAATCGAACCCAGGAGAGAAAAAAACAAAATGTCTATGGCTCGAACAAGGGCTCTTAACAGCAACAAACTAACCGAGACCCCTCAAAATGGTGCCGGCATGCGCCCGTCAGATTCGCTGGTACTACTTAGAGAATGAGACAACACTATTCCATCCGCGGTGTGACGGGACTTCGCCGGCAGTCACCGTAGGCTGCACGACGTAAGATAACACACCCCCTGCTGGAACGATTTCAAAGCTCGATTGCACGGTGCCGGAAATGGCGGCGTTGGAACTGTCTCGTCGAGAGCGCTTTCCGAAAAGGTATCGTTTGATTTTGGGCGCAGGCACTAATCAACCGTCAGCGGCGCTATTCAACCGGCACTACAAAGGGGGACCCGAAACTGTCACTCGGTCGTGCCATCGATGCAGGTCCCTCAAAGTGCCGGAATGTGCCCCGCCAGATTCGTTGACACTATTCAGAAAATGAGACACATAGAATACTCTACGGCGCTATGTCGAGCAGCGACCCTATTCAACCGGCAGTACTGAGTGCCCCCCACTGGACCCGAAACTGTCACTCGGTCTTGCCACGACGAACGTCCCTCAAAATAGTGCCGGTATGTGCCCGCCAGATTCGCTGGCACTGTACCAGCACTGCGCAGAGAATGGCACACCCAGACTATTCCATCCGTGGCATGTCACTTCGCCGGCATTGTATCCGGACAGCGTCCCTATTCAACCGGAAATATTGACGGATAATCCTCACTGCTGTACCCGAAACGGTCACTCGGTTCTTCCGTCGATGAACGCTATGAAGCGGTCGCGGTACTCATCCGGGGGCACCGCGGATAGCTCATGTCGGTCGTAGACCACCCCCTTGGCCCCCCTCTCCAGCATCTTCTTTAGGTTGTACCTGTGGATACCCGGCAGTTGTGTGCATGTGTGTGTAGGCATTCAGCGCCAAAGCGGTTGTGTGCATGTGTGTCCGTACTTAGCGACGTTAAAGCAATACTAAATCAAAGATTATATTGAAGTCATCATCATATGACACAATTTTTTATTTATCATCAGTTTTCCAAATAGGACAAATGGTCCAGTGGTTTATGGCACCGTGGGTGTACGTCTGTAACGACTGAGGGCCATTTCACCAACAAAGTACCAAATTGCAAGCCAAAGAATTGTGCCCAACAAGAAATTAGCAACTGCTGTGCCCCGGGCTGTCGCAACTGCTTCCCGCTCAATCCGTGCTTGGTGAACATGTATGTCCGTATCCTAGAACCTTGGGATTTGGTTTCGATTGGCGTCTGGCAATGTTGTTGTCGTTGTTGTTGTTGTCTACACAGAAATACCGTTCCGGTCTCTGTTCTGTATTGTACAATATCCGTCCCGGTTCAACTGACGCGGAACAGCTGCCGTGGTCACAGACTAACCACCAACAACGGCACCTTGCCAGAATCAAAGAAATGTTCGTGTGTTATGAGCGCGCCCGAAAATTGGGATGTGATTTCGATTGGTGTCCGGGAAGGTTGTTTCTCTGTGGCGGGAAAATCAATAAAGACTACACGGGATAATACAATATAATGTTATTTGGTATTTGGTTTCTAGTGGGCGTACACCGTCTATGACACAAGATATCACATATCACACCCCCTTGACCGATTTTCAAAGCTCGATTTCGCAACAGCAGGGAGCGTCACAGCGCCGAAAACGGCGGCGTTAGAACCGTCTCGTCGAGAGCTTTTCGAAAATATACCATTTCGTCCATGCATCCTCTTCGTCGTGGAGTAATCGAGCTTTGAAAATCGGTCCAGGGGGTGTGTTATCTTGTGTCATAGACGGTACTCTTGTGATCAAGTTCTACGTTTCTGTTTTTCTCGGGGTTCTCAATTCCCATGCATAGGGTTTGGGCGTTCTGCACCGATACATGGTAACGAAAGAAAAAAAATGCGCCCAGACACACTCCACAAAGAAAACGACACACCCAGTGTGCCGATTCATTCACCTCTGCAACACGTCGATGATTCCCACGTAATAGACGACGCCAGGTTCTCGCCCGGGGTAGACGCCGACCTGCAACAAAACAACGGGTGACGGGGACTCTGTATTTAAGCGAGGGACGGGGGTGCACTCATTTGAAAGCATGCCGTAGCCGAGAAGGGGGGGATGGATAAGCTGCGAGGAGGAGACCTGCGTGGCATGGCATCTGTGCTGTCAGGATTTCTGCGAGGCACCAGCAACACCAAAGAGTGAGTGCACACTACATGGCGTATTGCTTCTGGCATACCGTACACGACACAAGACAACACACCCCCTGGAGTGATTTTCAAAGGTCGATTACGCCACGACCAAGAGGATCAATTATCGAAACGGTACATTTTCGGAAAGCTCTCGACGAGACGGCTTCGACGCCACCGTTTTCGGCGCTGCTGTGACTCTGCCATTGACAAGTCGACGTTTGAAAATCGGTCCAGGGGGTGTGTTATCTTGTATCGAATACGGCAATGTACATGGAACTGCGGAACCGTATATCAATTTGTCGTAGAGACCATCGGCCTCGCGTCCGATCAACACCGTGGCGGATCGGAATGCCGGGTTTTCGCCGGCCCAGGCCATCTACCGTAGGTTGCGTAAGATACCACACCCCCTGGATCGATTTATAAAGCTCGAAAACTCCACGACCAAGAGGATGCCGAAGGCAAACGATGCGTGTTCGGAAAGCTCTCGGCGGAACGGTTCCAGCTCCGCCATTTTCGGCACCGTCACTGCTTTCCCAGCCCTTTAAAATCAATCTTGTAAGATCGGCCGAAGGGGTGTGATATATTACATCATGCAACCTACCGTATGCTTCACAAGGATGAACCAGAAGCTGGTCATCATCATTCCTTCCGATTTCTGTGCTAAACCAGGCATGCTGTGAGAGGGAAGGGGGAGTGGGAAAAGCGGGGCCGCGCTCAGCAGCTGCCAACAGTTACTTGATATACGAGCCACTACTGTCGCACACACCAAGGATAACAAGCGCCTGCATGCATGCACCTGCACTTATCCAAGTAGTACCGTATATGGCACAAGATAACACACCCCCTGGAGCGATTTTCAAGGCTCGATTACTCGACGACGAAGAGGATGCATACACAAAACGATACGTTTTCGGAGAGCTCTGAACCAGACGGCTTGAACGTGGCCATTTTCGGCGCTAAGTGTGACTCTTTCCGCCGTCGAGAAATCGAGTTTTGAGAATCGGTTCAGGGGGGTTTTATCCTGTGTCGTCTACGGTACTCTTACTGCTGTACGTCACGAGAAGATGCCATTGCATACATCACACCACATTCAGGGACCACGCTACTGTTCCGTAGAATTACTGTTGGACCATTGTTACTGCCGTCAACAGAAAATAATACGCCAATGCCTTCATCCAAGCACGCACGCACGTACTGCTGTGCGAAGAAGAGAACACGCCTCAATCCACGCACGCACGCACTGCTGTACACAGAAGACAACACGCCAATGTCTTCATGCATCCATACTGCTGTACGCAGAAGACAACACACCAATGCCTTCATCCATGTACGCACGCGCGCACCTGTGGCCGTCTGCCGCCCCTCCTCGCGCCGCCGGGGATGATTCCCAGGGCGAAGCACCCCGCCGCCCAGACAGGCTTGGACGCCACCGACAGCACCGACAGCGGAAGGGACAACAGCCTGCTCGACTTTGGTCTACAAGGGCGGTGAATGCCCACCTGAACAAGTAAGATTGAGGAGGAGGGGATGGGGTGATGGGTGTTACTTCTTCCTACGATTATGTACAGATGTTAGAAATTTCAAAAATGACCTCTAGCTTTTGGTCTGTAACTCAATAGTGGTGAATGCCCAGCTACGTACCATAAATGACACAAGATAACATACCCCCTAGACCAATTTTCACAACTCGATTTTTCAACAGCAGAAAGAGTCAACAGTGCCGAAAACGGTAGCGTCGAAGCTGTCTCGTCCACGACTTTCCGAAAATGTGCCGTTTCGTTTATGCATCCTCTTCGTCGTGGCGTCATCGAGCTTTGAAAATCGGTCCAGGGGGTGTGTTATCTTGTGTAATATATGGCTAACGGGGGGGAGGGGACGCAGTGGTATTTATTTCCTTTCGTTGTTCAAAAGGTTCCAACCTTTTGCTCGATTGGTCTGGAAGGGGCGGTGAATCCCAACTGCGTGCATGCATGAGGGGACGGAGTGATGATTTATTTCGTTGGTTTTTCGGAAGTTCTGACATTTGAGCTCGAATATGTCCTGAAAAGGTGATTCAAAGCCCACGTGCAAGCACACTTGAGGGGGGGGGGGGGGGGGGGGGGGGGGGGGGGGGGGGGGGGGGGGGGGGGGGGGGGGGGGGGGGGGGGGGGGGGGGGGGGGGGGGGGGGGGGGGGGGGGGGGGGGGGGGGGGGGGGGGGGGGGGGGGGGGGGGGGGGGGGGGGGGGGGGGGGGGGGGGGGGGGGGGGGGGGGGGGGGGGGGGGGGGGGGGGGGGGGGGGGGGGGGGGGGGGGGGGGGGGGGGGGGGGGGGGGGGGGGGGGGGGGGGGGGGGGGGGGGGGGGGGGGGGGGGGGGGGGGGGGGGGGGGGGGGGGGGGGGGGGGGGGGGGGGGGGGGGGGGGGGGGGGGGGGGGGGGGGGGGGGGGGGGGGGGGGGGGGGGGGGGGGGGGGGGGGGGGGGGGGGGGGGGGGGGGGGGGGGGGGGGGGGGGGGGGGGGGGGGGGGGGGGGGGGGGGGGGGGGGGGGGGGGGGGGGGGGGGGGGGGGCGGAGTGATGAAACTTTAATGTTGACAATAGCAACAACAGCGACAACAACGACAGCGACAGCATGAAACCATAAATAACAACAACAGCAGCAACAGCAACAACAAAAGCAACAACCTACGGCAACGCCGGCGCCACCACCGCAACCACCACCAACAGCAATAACAACACCACCGGCTGGGGGAGAGAAGGCTCACGAGCAAGCTGTAGTCCATGACGCCGAGCCCGGCCAGGAATTCCGCGTCAGCGCTGAGCTCTCTCATCAGCCGCTTCTTGCCCCCCGCGGCCAGTCGAATCTTGTCCCTGTCCGCTAGGTCTAAATCCTTGAGCATCTGCAGGGGCGCGAGGACACCGGAAAACAGAGAATGGCCTCAACTACAGAACCACCGCAACAATAACTACCGACAACAACAACGACAAGAACATACCCTATGACACGAGATAACACACACCCCTGGACCAATTTTCAAAGCTCGATTGCGCCATGACGAAAAGGATGCATAAATGAACCAATACATTTTTGGAAAAATAAAGCTCTCGACGGGACAGCTTCAAACGCCACCGTTTTCGGCGCTGTGACTCTTTCTGCTGTTGAGAATCGGTCCAGGGGGTGTGTTATCCTGTGTCACTTGGGGATTTTCGTACACCACTGAGCGGGTTGGATGCGAACATCTATCTCCGATTTCGGTTGAAACGAAAAGCCGACATCCAACGTCAAGATCCGAAGGGGGCACTTGAAGGGACATTGTTCCCTCACCGTGGTAGGTTTGAAGGCCGGATCTATATCGTTTCTCGTTTGGAAAGATAAACCGACATCCAAGAGGGCACTTGAAGGGAAATAGCTCCCTCACCGTGGTAGGCTTGAAGGCCGTATGTATCTCTTTTTCGGTTGAAACGATAAACCAACATCCAACGTCAAGATCCGAACACGGCACATCAGGGGTTTATTTAGTTCCCTCAGGCTTGAACGCCGTATCATTCTCCTTTTTCGGTAGAAACAAAACCGACACTCGAGAGGCACTTCAAGGGAAACAGTTCCGTCACGGTGCTAGGCTTAACAGGCCGTACCTCTTTTTTCGGTTGAAACGATAAACCAACATCCAGCGTCAAGAATTCCGAGAGGGAACTTCAAGGGAGTTGGTTCCCTCATCGTGCAAGGCTTGAAGGTCGGATCCATATCGTTTCTCGTTTGAGAAGATAAACCGACATCTACGAGGGAACTTGAAGGGAAAAGGGTTCCCTCACCGTGGTAGGCTTGAAGGCCGCATCTATCTCTTGTTTTCGGTTGAAACGATAAACCGACATCCAACGTCAATGTCCCAAGAGGGCACTTCAAGAGAGTTGAATCCCTCACCGTGGTAGGATTGAAGGCCGGAACTATCTCTTTTTCGGTTGTAACGATAAACCGACATCCAAGAGGGCACTTGAAGGGAGAAGGGTTCCCTCACCGTGGTAGGCTTGAAGGCCGGATCTATTTATTTTTCGGTTGAAACGAAAAATCAACATCCAACGTCAAGGATCCCACGAGGGCACTTCAAGAGAGTTGAATCCCTCAACGTGGTAGGCTTTAAGGCCGGAACTATATCGTTTCTCGGTTGAAAAGATAAGAGGGCACTTGTAGGGATCAGGGTTCCCTCACTGTGGTAGGCTTGAAGGCCGAGCTGTTGCGGGGAATAGTTCGCCGCCCCACCACCGAGCCCTTGAGGTCGTAACGCTCGTGAAGGCGTTTCTCGGTCGAGAAGACGTTCGATGAGGACACGAAGATGGTGGATCTTCAGCAGCAGCAGCAGCAGCAGCAGCAGCAGCAGCAGCAACACCAGCATCACACCAGCATCACATCAGCAGTGGCAGTAGCAGCAGCAACAGCAGCAGCACGTCGGCACAGCAGCAGACATCGAGAGGGAGAAAATAAACGGAGGTAGGGACGCAGTACAAAACGCGGCCGCACTTGAGAATCCAGGAGCCAAGAAATCGAGTCTCAGAAAAAAAAAAGGAACCAGGAACTTGAGCGCCATTCTGTGAGCTCGGTTAAGAATCCCTACAGTAAAACCTAGATATTGACCATTCGTAGCATGACCGTAGGAACAAAGACCCCCAGCCTCGGCCGAAACTATAATAGAGCTTCTAAAGTGTGCCCGCGTTCTAGGCCTGTCCTCCATCGGCCGTTTTGCTTGTATGACGGAGAATAAGAAGATGGAATTACTTGAAATTAGTATAGAAATAAAGTTTGTGTATCTAAATCGAAAATAAAACGGCCGATGGAGGACAGGCCTACCGCGTTCTGCATAATTTTGTTGTTTTTGTGCTGTTGGAGGTGGCATGACGCAATATAACACACCCCCAGTACCGATTTTAGAACCTCAGCCTCGGCCAAAACTAGAGGTTCTAAATGTGGGCGCCTTCTGTATTATTTTTGTTGTTTTGTGCTGTTGGAGGTGGCATGACGTAAGATACCACACCCCATGGCCCGATTTTCAAATCTCCATTCCCGTTGCGACGAAGAGGACGTACAATTGAAACGTCACGTTTCGGAAAGCTCTCAACGACATGGTTCCGACGCCGCCATTTGCGGCACCGCCTTACTTCCCTGCCGTGGAGAAAGCCAGCGTTGGAAATCGTTTCCAGGGCGCGTGGTATCTTGCGTCAAATTTGGAATAGACTACGGTGGGGGTCCCTGTCTAGTGCCGGTACGTGTCCAGAAAATTCACCGACACTATCCTATTCCGCGTCCTGACAAATGACTTGGGAATTCAGTGTGTGCCCGCCGAACGAGGGACCCCCTCTATAGTTTCATTGACTAGGTTTAACCCGGGGCCGATGTTGATGACATGAAACTTCTTGATGAACATATTCCCCCTCTGTACTGCACCCGGTCGGTTTGGCGGTACCGCAAAAGGCACAAGAAAACACCCACCCTGGATCGATTTTCAAATCTCGAATTCTCAACAGCAGAAAGAGTCACAACAGCCCCGAAAACGGTGGCGTTTCAAGCTGTCCCGTCGAGAGCTTCCCAAAAATGTATTGTTTCATTTATGCATCCTCTTGGTCATGGCGTAATCGAGCTTTGACACTTGGTCCAGGGCGGGGTGTCATCTTGTGTCATTTACGGTATTCTCCTTTCCGCTGCAACCGGTCGAAGGGCGTGCTGCGGTACCTTACGCAAGCTACGGCACTACTCTAGTTGTGAAAAACGCGAGGGCGGGAGTGCCATCTCTCTGACTCTTGAGGTACGGAATAACCGCGGCGGGTTACCCACCGTTTCGTCCTGGGGTTCGTGACGCGGTAAACGCCGAAGAAGCGGGTGATGAGAGAACCCCGCCGCCTCGCCACGTGCTCGGCGTAGTGCGGCAGCAGCCGCAGCATCGAGTCCAGCTCCGATTCCGACTATTCATTTTTTGGGGAAGGAAGCGCCCGACAGCGGTGAGAGGAAAGGGTCCGCACAGTGAGGTGAAAGGGTCCGACAGCAATGACGAAAAAGGTCCGAGCCCAGCCACGAGCCCTACTGTTTATTAGGAAGAAAGCGCCCGGACAGTACCGCAAAAGGTTGCGAGTCAGCTAGAGCACAGGGGTGCGCGCTATTTTCAAAGCGTAGTTTCTTCACAACCAGGAGGCCACCACTGTCGAAAAGGGCGGTTTTGGAAATATCTCATCGAGAGCTTTCCTGACAAGTATCAGTTGGCGCTCGCACCTTCCTGGTTGTGGAAAAATTACGCTTTGAAAATCGATCGCACCCCCGTGCCTTAGCTGACCGCAACCTTACTGTAGTACCGTATATGACACAAGATAACACACCCCCTGGACCTATTTTCAACGCTCGATTACTCCACGACGAAAAGGATGCATAAACGATACATTCTTGGAAAGCTCTCGACGAGACGGTTCCAACGCCGCCGATTTTGGCGCCGTGACGCTGTTGTTGAGAAATCGAGATTTGAAAATTGGTCCAGGGGGTGTGTTATCTTGTGTCATTTACGGTGATTCGAAAGGATCCAACAGTAAAATGAGAGGGTACGACAAGAAGGCGGACGGGTCCCAGTCCAGCGCCGATTCCAACTGGTTATGTGGGAAAGCGCCCGACAGCGGTGAGACGAAAGGGTCCTACAGCAAGACGAAAGGGTCCGACAGCAAGACGAAAGGACCCGACAGACGAAAGGGTCCGACAGCGGTGAGACGAAAGGACCCGACACCAAAACGAAAGGGCCCTTCAATGAGAGGGGACCACAAAGATTGCTCACCGCGGTCTTGAGCATGTACTTGCCGTCCTCGCTGAACATGAAGCTCTGCGCGCTCTTCGAGTTGGAAGCAAGGGCGATCATCCGGGAATCTTCTTGGAATGATCTCCGGTACTCCGACGACGGCATTCCGTACACTCCACGCAGGTGCGCTAGAAAAACGAACAAACGAACGAACGAACGGCTATTGCTGCAAGGCGATCATCCTGGAATCTTCTCGGAACGATCTCCGGTACTCCGACGACGGCATGCCGAACACTCCACGAAGGCGCCCTACAAAAACAAAAAAATGTTGCTGTTCAGTCTGTTGTTGCCCAAAAGCGAAATATCGCTACACCGTAGGATTTCCACACCCCTGGACCTATTTTCTATTTTCAAAGCTAGATAACTCCACGACCAAGATCATGCCGAAGGCAAACGATACGTGTCTGGAAAACACTCGACGGGACGGTTCAAACTCCGCCATTTTCGGCACCGTCACTGCTTTGCCTGCGGAGCAATCGAGATTTGAAGATCGGTGCACCGGGGGTGGTATCTGATGTCATGCAACCTACGGTAAACATGAACACTCTCTCGGCGAGACGGTTCCGATGCCGCCATTTTTCGGCACCGTCACTGCTTTCCCTGCGGAGTAATCAAGCTTAGAAATTCGGTCCAGGGGGTGTGCTATCTTACGTCATGCAGCCTTCGGCATGCTGCTAGGGGAAATGTAGACACAAAGGTTGTGTGCCGCTGACGCTAATAATTTATACCTAGATTGTATTTTCTGTGTAGGATAGAGATAGATTCGTGAAAGAAAAAATAAAACAACACGTCCCGAAGGCTGGTGCGGCGTACTCGAGAAATCCGTTGCTACCAATAACATATATCCTACACCCTTTTATCTACGGATAGAGATGGAATTGTTCAAGAAATAAAAATAAAAATAACTAACCGAAGGCGGGGGCGGCGTACTCGAAATATTAATCGCCAATGTGCTTACATCCTAGACCCCTTACATACGAATTCGTGTGAAAAAAAAAAAGATTTACAGAGGGAGTAGCGACGTTAGAGATGGATCCGTGGAAGAAAAAAAAAAAATACTCACCGAAGGCCGGGGCGGCGTACTCGAAGAAAAGCAGCGGGGGGGCGTGTTCCCGCTCCCCCGTATCCCCTCCGGCTTCCTGATATTCGCCTTCGTCGTCGTACGCGTTACCCGTGGCTGCGCTTTCTCGTACAGGAGGGTGCACAATCTCTGTGCAGTCGACCTGTTGTTGTTGTTGTTGTTGTTGTTGTTGTTGCTTCTTGAAACTCACAACATCGAGAATTGGGAAACCGTACTCACCTCTGACTACACCGCAGCACCTGAAAGCTCAGCCACCGACTTTTGACGTGAAATCTTCGTCCGACCATATCGGACCCCTCTAAACACCGTAGATAAACATCACACCTAAATATCACACCGATCGAATCAACCGCCGAATTCATCACGGCGCTTCGCGCTTAGTGGTGTAAGAGCCGTGCAAGGGGAATGATCGCACCAAGTTGTGCTAAAATGGTCAAGCATCCTCGAGGCAGTTACACAGTGCTTACAACTGTCTCTGGCAGTGAAAGCACCAGAAAATAAATTAAGTCATACGCAGCTGTCATCCATACGCAAGGAAGCAAGTACAAGATGCCGAACACCCTTAGCAGGATACAGCGCACCCTTCATGCGACTCGCCGAATATCTCACGGCGCTTGGCGCTTGGTGATGTGAGAGCCTGGTCGGGTGAGAACCCGGCGTGCTCCGTCTCGGCTTTGTAGGGATGCGAGGTCAATGTTCTAACGACTACGGCATGCACGACTATGAGTACACCCCCCCCCCCCTTGGCCTCA